GTTTTGTGGGTTCTGCTGGGATTTATTAAAAGTATTTGTATGAAGAGAGCGAATTAGATGGAAAATTCGACTTAATTGGCCAGAAGTGCTGGATCCTTGTGATCTTTCTCAGTAGTGTCATGGGAACTGCTGCAGTTTCTGTTCGACGTGAAGCTCTTTGATGGATTGACTGAAAGATTATTTCTTTTCCTGGTGAAGATATAATTGAGCGGCTTTGCTCCACTTGACAGTCGGCCATGTTTTAGCTTGCTATTATACTTTGGTATTTATTTATATCTTCATTTTCTAACCTAGGCATGTTGTTGAAGAACTTTGTTGTTTTTTGGTTCTTTTTGTTCTATCTTAACTTCTCTGCACCATTATTATTTAGACTTTGCATCGACGGGCAATGGAAGATTGTCTTAGTGGATGATTTCTTCCCATGTAGAGTGGAATCGAAGTCAATAGCGTTTGCTGATGGAAGGAAAAATCAGGTTTGCAGTCGTTGCCAATTTTTACGTCCTTTGTTTATATTTCAAAATTCTGTTCTTACAATTAGTTACCCTGCTTACGTCATTTCCTGTAAGACTATCCAATTGCAGCTGTGGGTACCTCTTATTGAGAAGGCGTTGGCAAAACAGCTTGGGAGTTACGCTCGCTTACTCGCTGGTAGAACCATCGAAGGCTTGTCTACCTTAACAGGTTAGACCGATTGACTTTATTTCTTCAGCAAGATCAGATATGACTTACTATTCCCTTCGGTCTGGTCGTCCACCGATCTCTATTTTTGTTAAAGGTGCACCTGTGGAAATGATTTGTCTAGAAGACGAAACAGATAAAGATGTTAGATGGGCAAGAATCTTAAGTGCGAGGCAAGTTAGAATTGCATTCCGATAAGATCTACTTAGAAGTTTGATGGGATGCTATCATTAGGACTTTTCAGAGAGGCTGGTTTTATAATGGGATGTAGCTGTGGTGCAGGGAAACGATATGTGGACCCTAAAGCTTATGAAAAGAATGGTCTGCTTGCACGACATGCATATTCCATCCTGGATGTTGTACAAGAAGGGGAACATAGGTTGGCAGGTTTTTTCTTAGATGATTGTTTGACATAATTTTATTCCAGCTCTCTTCATTTTTCACACAGAATCGAATTTTCTCATTCATTGAACCTTAATTGAACAGCTTTTGTATGAGAACATTAGTTGCTGTGGAAAAATTAATTCTACAAATCGTTTCAAGGCTACTCCGACTCCGAAATCCATGGGGCTCATTTGTATGGAATGGTAAGTGGAGCAACAAGTGGTCAGGATGGCCAAAAGGTGAGTCATTATCATTCCCCTCGTGTTATTTCCTGAACTTAGGTCGGATTCTTTCATAATATCCACTTAGGTTTCTTTCAGTACTGATTTTTTTTNNTTTTTTTTCAGATTTGAAGCAGAAGTTACTATCAGGAGAGCCTTCTACAGGAACATTCTGGATAAGCTATGATGACTTCTTAGCTCATTTTGATGCCAGTAGGTTTCAAAGCAAAATTCACTTGCATATTTCAATAGAAATGAATAGTCTTCAACATATTTAAGACCAGTTACAACCAGAATTTTCTTTTCTTCTCGATCTCCTACGGTTTACAAACATACTATAAAACAATGTCATCGCTGTCATGAAAACTGTTATTTCACGGTTTCTTTGGCGAAGATAATTTAAAATGAAATCCGTATGCCCATGCACTCTCGACCGACTTGATAGATTCGCTGTTTTAGTTGATATCGCAAAGATAAGGTGGTATCAAGGCTGGAGGGAGTTACGTATACCGTTACAGGTCGGTGGGGACTTCATAGAATCCGACAAGTAAGTCGTTTTCCTTTGACGATTATTTCTTACCTTACATCATTAAAAATCGTTAGCCTTTAGAGCTGTTCGTATTTTGATTGAAGAGCCAACTGAAGTGTGTTTTACGCTGTTCCAAATTGGAGCTCGCAAAGCACAAGAACAGGTTATTATCAATTTTTCGTTCGGGCAAGAGCTTGTTCTTTCTTTATAATTTCTTCAGCTATGTTCATCTTTTAAGGTGGATATTCTTGTCTGCTTGCACAAAGTTTCTCCGGCCGGTACCATTGGAGAGCTAGTTTATCGTTCCCCTCGTAAACTGGAGAACTTTGTGAGCACAGGTGAGCACAATTGCTTCTATTGTGTTACAATTTCATTATGGGTTTTGTAGAGCTTATCCTTAGTCGTTCTACAGGTGACGTTTTTTTGCGCCCTGACCACTACATTGTTGTTTGCCATAGCTTCTCAACATTAGGGTCGAAGAAAATCCAATGCAATTTAGCGATCCACAGGTAAAGATCATGATTCTCAACTTACAAAAACTATGGTCATCATGTTGTTTCATGAAGTTTCCCCTTAAGAGTCGGTTTTTATGTATTTTTTCACTCCTCTATTTTCACCTATTCTTCTTCAATACAATTGTTTGCTTGGTTTCTTTAGAGGTCAGATTTTTGGGTTTAGTTATTATTGGGCAGTTCGGATTTCCTCATGAGTCACAGGGATCCATAGTTCCTTTTATTACTCATATTTATGTAATATATTGCATAATTCTTTACATTCTCGCAGTCGGAGTAAGACATGGCGCTAGGAAACTTTGCCCGCTTTTAAAAGTTTCGCCCCTCATGGGCAGCCTTTTGCCGTAGATAGCTCAACTCATATGTTAAGAAACTTGGCCCTCTTGCAACTCATCTCTATTTGCTGTTTTATTTTATTCTCAAATTCAGATAGACTTCACTTGAAAAGCAATTCCAGACTGTTTTCTTCCATTGTTTTTTTTTAGTTCCAAACCAATTTACGCTGACATGCTACCATGTCCGGCAGCTATGTTCACTGATTCTTTGGTGCAAATGGTTCTGAAGGAAGGAAAGATCCACAAAGTAAGGCAATTCTTTCAAGTTCTCGCTTCATTTACCCCAAGCCTTCTACTTTGTGGTCTTCAGTCTCTGATGGGAGTGTTTCCTCGTTATGTTACTGAAGATTTTTCGGGATTGCTACTAATGGTAGATAACGTCTTGGAGGATATGTGGGTTCACGCAAGGTAAGAATTCTTCGCTCATTCTCTTTTCTTGTCAGGATTAGGGGTAGAGTGTCTGAATGGTTGCTTGGATATTTTAAGCAAATCTTAGCTTTTATACGGTTTCAGGGTGGAGTGCTCGAACTCTACCAATTTGCTTTCATCTCGTGGTGCGCTCGATGTTGCCGACTCTATTCCTCCACTTAGTCGTCAGGTAATTAAGTCTGCTCTTTTTTTCGTGTTATCTTCAATGGTCACTACTGCACCTTTTTCAGATTATCATTATTCTTACTCACTTTGAACCCACGCAAAGTTACTCGGTAGAACACCAACTCTTGGTGAGTCGCTTTTTATTTTCTAATTGTGCTTGGTGATTTAATACTGCTTTCACCAATTCCATATTTTATATTGTTATACAACGCATTTTTCACTCCTTATTGTTCGCTTTAAGATACGTGTGTCACGTTCGCCTGCTTTGGGAGACTTTACTATAACTAGAGGAGGATTTCGAGTAAGCACTGATTCTCACTCACCATCATTCGGTTGTCCAGCAATAGAGCAGCTGCATTCCAGGAAAGCTTTGTTTTATCCTTGAGATTGTTCTGCTTGCTTTGTATTTATGTATGTTCCCAACAATTTTTCTCTGATAGAAGTTTTTTCTTGTAATTTGTTCTAGAGCGATTATTTTTTGATAGGCATAACGGTATTCATTGTGATTTCTTACCCTTGATCTGGATGAAATCCCTGGCATGCCAAACTTACTAGTCATTCTTACCGTCCTGTACATGACTTTATTTTTACACTGACACTTTCCAAATATTACATATCGTTTCCATTACAGTCCTCCAATTTATAAAGCAATCCAATTGTGCGAGTGCTTTATATTAACAATCTACCTATACGGTTACCAAATCGCATTTCTTGACCTGGTAACTTCCTTCTGTGATTATCGTTAGCTTTTAGCTATTCACTTAGTCTTTCTTGGGAATGTATGCTTTTAAAAAGGTTTGGATGCGTATGATCTGAAAATAAAGTATTAACCAATGTGAATTTTTTCACTGTAGGAAACACTGGGAGCCACGTCGGGAAACGACTCGTTGCTTTGCGTGCACAATGACTCTTGACAGCAGGCTCTTCCAGCCTGTTCCATGCTCCTGTTTCTAAAAAGTAACCCATCTCTTTCTTGCCCTTTTCCCTGCCGTTAGTCCTAAAAATGATATCCTTGGTGAGGTCTAGAGCGATAAAATATTTCCTTTCATCTTTTATACAGTGTGGTTAATGTGACAAACATGTGAAGAAGTGAAATCTTCATACTTCTTTAGAAACAGTAGTGCAGTGGTGACTCAGTTGCAAATCTGCCATCCGGTAAAGCATTGTCAACGTGGTCCTTTATCTATCCGACTCACCGTTCTCAAAATTTGGAAGCATAACTTTCAGTTGATTATCCTCCATCACAATATTCCACGGTGTGGTAGTCGGCTGAAGCTACCGCGATGAAGGACGTCTTTCACATCTATTTGTTCCGTTTTTGGGATGCGCCTCGCATTCGCCTTGTATTCATAATCGTAGCCACGTTTTCTATACGAACGTGACCTATTCAATAATTTACGGCTGACCAGGCGATGTGCAAATAATTTTTATCTTATGGTTAGAAGACGATTCTATAACCAATTAACCGAGCCGAAAGGAGGGAAGCTTGATTGGCTTGGACGAATATGGATTCAAGATCCGATCTTTAGATCAAGGCTTATGTGTTGCCCGTCCCTTGCCACCACGCTACCTCAGTCGTGCAAGTACAGAATCGATACAGTACACCAGTTCCTCCACTTATACTCTATGGTGATGGGTTCTCCTATTTTATGTGCCGCCAAATAATTGCTCCGGTAATCTCGGGGCGAACCGTGATCTCACGATTCTATGTAACATTTCTCTGTTGTTTCAACTCTCCCATAACTCCTCGAAAACTTCCCTACTGCACATCCCAAGGCCCTCCGCTATGGACTGATGTACCACATTCACACAAACGCTGAATTACATTTCGAGGTAAGCAACTGCTGCTAGAAGATGAACAAAATGAATTTCATATTTTAATAATAGTCAAACAGACGATAATATGGGATCAAGCAATGTACAAATTAGTGGAATGATGACTCCATAAATAACCGTTTTATTTATACACACGTATCACTTCCTCAGTGGACGCCGTTTCCTGGATCGCGAGGGACCATCTCGATTACGATGCCTCTGGCGGCCTTCTTTAATCTGTGGCGGTCGTTCATCTGTTCGTGAATCATCCCTTCTGGACGACGAAGGCTTCTTCTTTGAAAGTCGAGACTGAGACCGTTCTCTTTGTCTGGAACTAACAGACGCTTCCCTTCGGCGTTTCAGGGGTCGCTCCGAAGGTTGCTGTTTGCCACTCGGCTGCCGACGATTCGTCGAAGTTGATGGAGAAGGTGATCTCTCTGGATCAGTCCGAGTCAGTTTCGGGAAAAGAGGCTGGGGACCTTTGCCAGATGATGGTGTCTGAACCAAACTTCCGAACTGCAGTAAAGACTGATTCAGCGGCGCTCTTTGTGTTGGGTTCACGTATTGAGGGGTAATTTGAAAAAGTGAAGGGGGTAATGAGAGCGATCCACGTGAAGTGTACGAGTTGGTCAGCCCCATGGATACGGAACCAAGGGGTGACATTGTTGGGAGAGAGTTCACCATGACCGTCGCCTGCGAAGAGAATAAAGGAGTAGGAGTTTGATGAATTACCGCATTTTGTAATGAAGATGAAGCTGCTGAGAACTGACGATAGGATGCAGCCACTGACTTGAGCATTTGGTTAACAAGTGGTACAGCGGAGACAAGCTTTTGCGGGGTCACTTTTGGAGTAGACACAAGTGGCTCAGGTGCCGGATTGCGCCTCAAAGATGGCGGAGGAGAAATGGGTACGGAGCCGGCGCCGATCAGCGGTAGAGGACGAGGACGTGGTTCTTCATTTGATTTATACGTTGACGGACGCTGTTGAGCTTCTTGAAGTTTCTGAAAAAAACTGAACTTGCCATAGGATGAAACGAGAGTGAAGGTTATAGAACATAACAAATATGATGGATGCTACAACGAAGACTCGAGAACTTTTCATTTCTTATGAGGAACCTTGACCTACCTTAATGAAGGCACTAGCCGCATTTTTGACATTGTTCCTTGATATGGAGGAGAACATTTCTTTGTACTCTTCAAGAGCTTTTTTAGCTGCATTCATCTGCGCCAAATGAACAGTACAGGCTTCACCGACAGCCAGACGCATATTCCTGAAAAACCCAAAACGAGTCAAAAGCCTAAAGAACAAACTCCTGTGCAAAGGAAAACCCAGTAAAAATCAAAACGAACCTGAAATAAACTGCCACGCGGTAATGGCGAGCATTTGTTGAACCTTCTATACCGATGGTTCTATATTCCGGCATTTCTGGAGCAGAAGAATCGCCAGCGTCTAATTCTCGCAAAGCTAGACAACACTGTTGCAACTGCGACTTGGAGTCATTCCATTTTTTCGACTCGATGAAATGCTGAACAAAAATTGCTTTGGCACACGCTACCATGAAGTCAACATCATCATAAATACGATAATTTGAATCAAAGTAGGGAAATTAAGCAATTAAGCAGCCAAAAAACTAGCACATCGAAAGCTTAATTCACTTCTATCACGAAACCTACCTGAAAAAGGCTATACGAAGCTAATAGCCTCTCTCTGCCGGGTAGAAACAAAAGTGTTTGGTGCTACTTTATCGCCACTAGGGGTAAACGGAGGGTATGGGAGAGTTGCAGAGTTCACAAAAACATGAGCTAACATAAATGGAAGGCTAGCAGAACCATTACATAGTACGGTGAGGAAGGGCCGAAAGGGTAAGCCCCATGTTATTGTGTATTCAAATGAATAGTCACTAGCGAGGCTCACAATCGAACAACTAACAGAAATGAAAAAAAAAACATGACAACACCCAAGCAACTCACTTTAAGTCTGGGAAGAAAACAGATGTAGATAAACGCTCGACAATAGTCCCATCCACGGTCAACAAATATTGCTCCAAGCAGGGCTAAACTACGCAGTGAAGAACCTCATCAGAGAAACATGAAATGCATGAAACAAGAGAAGGCACGGCGCTGAATAATGCTACCACTCTTATAAAAAAATCTTAGCTCCAGCCAATTCAAAAATGCATAGACCCAGCAAAAAAAGGGCTGACCAAAAGGGACACTGCAGAGCAGTGGAACTGCAAAAAATTCACTGGTGAAATTCAAGAGTTTAAACCACTTCTGTTTGTAGCTCTCTCAACACCAATGTAAAGAATACAGAATGAGGTGAGGGACCGCCACGCAACTTTGAGATCTGGGAGTATAGTGCTTTCTTAAAGGAGTTTGGTTTTTGATTGGAAATACTATGTACAGTATTCTTCAATGAGAGAATGAATGGCTCACCTTCAACCAAATCAGCCTTATCTTTCAAGCTAAGATCAGGCAAACGCGAACCACCTCCGGGAGGATGTATAATGAAACAGTGGAGACCAAGATCTTCGCAAATTTGTGACTGAAATGCCAATGATAGCGTAGAAAATGGAACCAAAACGTCAAAGTTATCTATTAATACGTGATGTTTTTAGATGTTACCTGTGTTTCGTTACAGACGAGACAGGTGCGCAACAGTGATAGATGTCCTTCGTGATGATTTGGAAAATGATGATAAAGATAATTGGAAATTACAAGTTGCAGCACAGCATCTCCAAGCCACTCCAAACGCTGGTTATTACCACTAAAAAGTAATATCAGTGGGAATATGGGATCGGAAAACGTCTGGCATACCAAGTGAGTGTGTTGTACGGCACATTTCTTCGAGTCAGCGCTTTCGCGAGCAATCGGATATTTTGAAAACGGAATCCAAGGATATCCTCTAAGTCTGTAAGTTCGAGTAGTTCGTCGGTGTCATCGATAATCATTCTATCACCGTCCGGTTGTTCGACCTATACAAAAATGATAACTAATTTTTTCTCACATGGGAGAGGTTCCGAAAAAGTGAGTGAAATCCATCACCAAACCTTAAGAGGATGCTCAGGAACATTTAGCCACTGATCTTTGACCGCAGGATCATCACCAAACATCGCGTCGGCAAAAATACTAAAACGAAACAGTTTAGCAGGGAGAGGCCTCAATATCGAAGTATTCCTCGTTAAATGAAATGGGAAACAGGAACAACTGAAGAAGAGGTTCTGACCGTCATTTTCACCCCTCAGTAAGGTAGCTTTCACTGCCCCCGTTCGCTAGGAAGGAAGCCGCTTTACTGAGGTCGGAAGTGATGCCCAGGAACTTCTTTCTAAGATATTGTTCGCTAAACATGTACGAATGCTCCTGTGTGACAAATGTCTGAATGAAAAAAAGAACAAAAAATACAAATGTGAAGCATAGGAAATTCACCGATCACACTCCTCGATTCCTCCATCCAAATAAATGGCAGCCAGCACAGCCTCAAACGTATTGGCTAAGGATTTCCGAAAATCTTCCTCATCACATAAATCAATTCCATGAGCATACATCATCCAATCACCGAGGTGTAGTTTCTGAAACTTTCAAACCTAATTGGAAGGTGAAAATGGCATAACAATATCTTTACAAATAAGCAAATGCAAGTGGCTATATGTATGCTAATTGATAACTGTATACCTTCCCAAGTGCTGCAAGATTACGATTTTGTACTAGCGCGCTACGGTACGTAGCCAGACCACCCTCTTCTTGATGCGGCAGAATGAAGAACAAGCGACTCGACACTATCTGAAATCAAAGTGGTGTACCGGATCGAGCTCAACGATATTCACCAGAACCTTACCAACTCCACCACAGCATCACCCAAATATTCCAATCGTTCGTTATGTGCCACTTTCGACAAACCAGCAGTATTTGACCCAGACTGCGACATTATATGCATCAGATTACGGAAACCTGAACAAGTGAGGAAAAGCTTTACGTCATTAGATGGATGAATCTCGAATTCTTCGATCCTACCTTTTTTCTTCTCGTTGTTTTCTGTGAACGGAGCATATCGGCGAAATAAGCAATTGGTCAGCGTTGTCTTCACATGGTCCACGTTTACGCCTATAATCAAAACAAAATTTCTTAGAAAACGATGAAAAAAAAACATCAAGTATACCAAAATCATTTTTGTAGGATGGATGAGTGAAGGCGAGCTCAATTAAGTTTCGGTTTGCAAACTTGTAATCGATGATCTTCTCGAACTCCTGTAAAAAGCCATAATTATAAACAGTTGGACAAAAAACAAAATAGAAATTGAGAGAGTTACTAGCCGAAAGAGACCAATGCAGTCGTGCATGCTTCACAGCGAGAATCATCAGTAGAACATGCGCCGTGACATCCGCATAAAGTCCTGTCGCTAAGAAACCGGTGCAAGGGATTACTTTGGTAGTGTTGAGGGAGGCAGCGCTGAAACCGTACAAGCAATAGCAAGAAAAGAAATAAAGTGTAGCGAGTAGTAAGCTGACAAAGATGGACATCTTCTTACCGCTGTTGTTTTATTTCATTGATTCGTTTGAGTAGGGTGTTCATCTCATCCAGATGCTCTTTCTGCCCTGTACTAGTACTTGATTGAGCATGACGCAACTTATTAAGACGACGTTGAGCCTCCGCAAGTTCTGGGTTCTTCAAGTTTGCATAAGCTATGGGGCTGTAATAGACATGACGTCGTGGCACTAATTGTAAGCTCGTTTGAGTAAAATTATACTAAATAAATGAAACCTACGGTGATGCTTTATGTTCAATGGCATAAAAAGGAAATTCAGCAGTCGGTCTTTTAATGTTGTCTATGCGGATAGTAGAAGGCCTCTGCAAGAACCCTCCTAACACAAAAGTGAACAAGGTAAGGGAAAAGCAAAGAATGCAAGGCAATAGCAATCGATACCACACCTTTCGCGGATTCGTTGTTAAATGGAACCTTTTTGCCGCTAACAGTTTCGTGATTTCAGATTCCGTACAAGATGCAAATGTTTCAGCCTCTTTCTCGCTCACAACGGGAACGAATGAATCACACAAATACCGGACGACAACGCTCATTGGCAACAAATGCTGGACTCCATCTGAAAACATATTACAAATAGTAATGTCTTACTCGATGCCAATACAGTTGAACCGAACCTTTCTCGCAGATGAACCGCGGCATGACATGGTAGATTGGGCAACCATCAGTGACCCCAAACGGATACAACGATTCATCGTATAGTTCCAAAAGGTCAACGAAAAGGTACTGGTGAAACATGTCTAGCTCTTCTACGGTAAAACACTGAAATCGACCGAAAATGGTGAATTCGTCAGAAGAGCTATTCCATCGGTACTCACATTAATCATCGGAGCCTTCTCAAAATGAAATTCATACTCATTAATGTAACGTGAAACCGGCATAAGGGGAATGACTGCTGGTAATTCGCGGTGAAAGAAAACCTAGAAGTAAAAAGTGAAATAGAAACATATCAGTAGAGCTGCAATTCCAACCAGTGAGAGAATTTAAAGAAAGTAAACAGTTGGATATGGAAATATTTGTAATCATCCATGTTCATTTCTTCGATATATATTACATATACATATAACTAGTCACTTGGTTTCACAACGAAATAAGCAAAAACCTTCGAAATCTCGCAGAAGTCATGACAGCCCATTAATTATGAAAAATTTGCCGAAAGAATTCATGAGGACGGATATAAAGTCGTGCAGGAACGAGGACTCACCGAAAACCCTTGGAAAACGTATGAATCGCCGTTGTGACTTATCCGAGTGCGTGTACCCTCACCTAAAGGTGCCGTCGGCCTTCTGACCACAAGGACATAATGGTGGAGCTTGGAAGCGTTGCTGAAAAGCAGTGTGAAATAATCAAAGATCGAATTGGAAACTCTAGTAAATGTATCGTAACCATCACTACTCGAGAGTCGAGCTAATCTTTGGGCAGGCTCATCAAAAAAGGTTGGTGTGCCCTCAGAAAGGATGGAATGGCAGAACAATATCGACTTACTTTTCATTTGGGGTACAGTTGGGAATCCGTGACTCTCCAGGAAAGACATTATGACGTAGACCACTTTTCTTCGCTGAAGGCGAACACCTGCACATCAGCCCATACGCGCCCTAGAAAAGTCGAAATGCTCTGTTTAAACCCCTTATTCCAATTAAAACTGAATTAATCCACCTCACCACTTCAGGTTCATTAAAGCATATATCTTCACATAACGCAGCACCACTTCTATATTTCCTATCGAACTGGAATAAGAAGGCATAATGAGAAGAACACGACGAGCAGCAACGTTTTACCTCTTTTCTCAAGAGATACGAGCTACGCTGTCTCGTGTTCATTCGCTCCACATCGCTCATTTCCGAATCATCAAAGTCTCCTCCATCGTCTCCACCAGAACTGCTATCATCACTGATATCGGAAAGATGCTCAGTATCGGAACTATCGTCGGATTCAGTATCACTCTCATCAGATGTGGAACTTATGGATGACTCAGAAGGACTACTGCCACAACCCTGGGCACCTAAAAGTAATACCAGTTGGTGGCTTCAAAGGCGAGATCCATTCTAGGTCTATGGCCAAGAAACACCCGGGAAAAGTAAAGCACGGCAAGAAATCTATACAGATGCTCTTCGGACTTACATCTCCAGCAGGAATGGACTAGAATCTTCTCAACGGGTTCTAACTTCGTCCGTTCCTTTTTCATTTGTTGAACGCTCTTCAGCAACGATCGAAAAGTCTCCAAAACTGAGGCATAATCGGAGGCTGATCGCACCTCGCCGGGTCTTGACCGTGACTGAATGCAATAAGACTTACAACCCAGCAAGCTCCAACGAAGAATCGATCTGAGACATCCAAAATGATGTGATCATAACTACTGTAACGCGGTGCCCACCTTGCGATAGTCCGAGCACGGTACAGGCACGACGTGTTGCTTATGCTCGGGAATACTCGCTGTTGCTGGATCGATCCTGACATACTGAAAAGGACACAATTACTGAATGTGGATTGCAAAACTACATTTCATAGTCACGGAATACCTCTTCCTCCATGAGTCTTTTGAAGACTTCCTGGTCAAGATTGAGATTATCAGCTACAACAGTTCTTATCAAACACTGGCAACAATTCCTGTCAGCTATAGTATGCAGTTTGAACTGACCTCTGTCGTCATCTCTATCATCCTCGTCACTATCTATAACTTCACCTTCTTCCACTTCGCTTGTGTCATCAGATATCACGATATTATCCAAGTCTGAGAATTGCAAATCAGAAACGGTCGATATCGAATCGTCATCGCTCTGAAATCTGCTACTAATTTTGGTATTTATGACATCCACTTACAGAAAATCAGAGAAATTGGATAAAATCCTAGTACGTACACCCATTCACATCATTTTTAAAGGTCAATCCAATCCAGTAATGCTCTTGAATGATAAGGCCAATAGGATTATCTCTTGATCCGATTACTCAAGCGGAAAAGGCAAACGACCCCTTTTCCTGTTCGGAGGCTAACACTGATGTCAAAAGGCTATGGCCCTGATCTAATCTGTGATTTCTCAACTGATAAAGGATTTAGGATGAAGAATAGAAGCCTCTGGCCCAAGTACCAAAAAGGGACGTACTAGTGGTTTAGATGCAAATATTGATCGAGAAAATTGCGAGATTTCAAAGAACTAGGGTTATTGGGATTGTCAGCAAATAACTTTAAGTATTAAGTGCGTGCAAAAATAATCCTTCTACCCAACATTCATCGAGTAACAACAAAACTTGAGAAAGAAAAATCTTTACAACGCTTACCTCAGATTCCGAATAGTCATCGTCGAGCTCTCGTTGTATTGGGCATTTCTTCAACTTCTCATGCATTGCATTACTTTAACAATAACATACTAATAAATGTTTGAAGCTCAAAGGCAGTTACCAGACCGAAATCGTTTCGCTCAGAGTTTGTACCCGAGCAGATGGTTGTCGTTGGAGCGCAGTAACGGCACTACCACGGTGGCGCGAAGCTGCAGAGAGTGAAGGAAGCGAGATTTCAAAGAATACGGTGTCCGGGTTCTCTTTGGGAGTTATTGCGTGGAAGCCTTGATTTGAGCCCTGCTAATGCTTGAATGAGAAATTCGTCTGCTTTTTAGATCTTCAAACCACAGGTTGTAAGACTACTCGGCATTTTTGTAAGGGCGGCCGGTGCGTTGATGACTGAGTGCGGTTGCACTCTCTATCAGGCCCTACACCTGGACTCTCGAGGGAGTTTCCAGTGACAGTTCAGTGACCTCTTCCTCTCTTGGAGCTGATGGCATACCCAATCGCCTTCCTTTGTCATCCTACCGTCCTGAACTCACTTTTTGTCTCCTTCAGATTGAATGAGTGAAGGGGTAATTCTGAAAGAAGTTTCGGAATGGCCTCTCTTTCTCCTCCAAAGGTGAAACCCAGGCTTATTCAGCTGACAACCGAGATCAAATTGGGATGACGTGTAGCATTGTCTCCTTCTTCGTAGCATGAGATGACGAAGACCTTATAAAATGTAGGAAGTAAGTTTATCGATGTTGGCTACAGCGTTAATGGATAAGGGAACATTTCCAAACAACCTCCTCCGGCTACGTCTCTCCCTCTCTCTGAAAATCATTTTGCAGTAAATACTTTTTAGGGAAGGGTGCTTTTCTATATTATCAAAGCGGATTATGCAAATCGATGAAGACGAACGACTCTCAGAAAAGCTTTTTGGTATATTCTAGACGAACAAAACAGTCAAGGGAGTCGGAGATATCAATGGCGCCGACGAAGAAAAAACTCCTTTGCTGATGAGGCAGCTCGAAAAAAATGGTTTTCGCTATTCAATAATAACAACTTCGGTCTCAATGCCGAGACTCGTTCCATACAAGCAATGGAATCGACTTGAGAGAACTTCCATAAAGATGAATTCAATTAAAAGGAATCCTGACTTCAACAAGGTATCGTTGAATAGACTACTTTGGAAAATGCTGAGATTCGACATTTAGCTCGTTAAATTCCTTCCTTCGCAGAAATATACATAGTCTTCTGATGGTTATTAACCCTGTCTTTAGAGTGAGCCTTGCATGCAACCTCCATTCCGAATCTATGTGTATGTGTCCTATACAATGGCTTGCCGTGGCCACCTGATGTACGAATCAGTGTTTTTATCCTCCTAGATGATTCTGGCACCATTTAAGCGACCTTTCAGAGATAGAGGGCTTGGCCGATTTGGGTGAAAGTCGTTCCGCGAGCCATGCGCGTGCAATAGTGGGCCACTTGCAACATCACCTCCTCCCTATTATGGAAATATACAATTTTTTATCGAAGAAAATTGCAGTACTACTCAAAACCCACTTTTTCTTATAAATATGACCAACCGACTTCTGGGCTTCTGCAAAACGAACAGTGATTGAGCGAAATTATGTGAAAATGATGGCGTTCGGTGTAGGATTATTTATCTGTTTTGGTTACGGTAGTCGAGAAAAAAATTGTATTTTTCTGTTTTCAAAGTGCATACTGATTAGCTAGCAACACGTTCTTATAGTTGTACTTTCCCATCACATGACAGATTTTTCAAGAAGATTGCATGATGAACGAAATTTCTATTGCTCTCTCTGTCTTTTGAAGAATTTTGAGCTTTTCGGTCCTTCAACTGTAGACAGAACCATAAGAGCTCATGGATCATTATTCTTTTGGGCCATTTAAATTGATTTTCTCTCAAAATGAGTGTCTTAGTGGATACCACACGCTGAGAGAACGGCTGTTAAGTTTATTCGACCTGGGCGAGTCTCGATCCAGGTCATGCTGCAATGTCACCTTCCCCAACATCTACCTCCACCCTCTGACTGATGGTATGGGAGCTTTCACTAGACTTACTTGATGAGACCTATCCAGTCAGGTGCTGACCAGGTACTGTTATTTCTTCCTGGCATCGCCTTCACAGGGGTCTCGGCTGTCACCTGTGAATAAGTCTATGCTTCGGGCAGGTGTAGTTCGTGGCCTAGTGCGCCCAGACCATCAACCCGCGATTCCTCCAAATTGTGCTCAGAACCTGAGCTGGCCGCCTGGGCGGAAGCTTTCAGGAATTATGTTTCTTCAATGTTCTCAATTCTCTTATTTTACGGCTTTGCTGGTCCATATCTTTTACAGCACTGGATCTTTTCTACCGAAAACTCAGCCCTCAGATCATGTTGAAGGGTTTAATTACTCTATTCCTATTTCCTAATCACTCTTAGCCGTATTGAGTTGTCACCTAGCACAGATTACTTTTTATGGCCGAGAATGCAACATTTGATTGATTTGAGGGGTGGTTCCGTTGAGAACTGTTCGCTGGTTTCGTTCTCTGTTTAGTTCAGTCATGTCGCCGTTGAATTCTGTATTCATTGATTTCCTGTCCACTTTACAACAATCTCTTTTTGATTTTCTTTATTACAGAATTCAGATTCAGTGAAACAGCGATGGCAGAAATTACCAACTTCCAAAAGCGGTTAATGGTGAGTTGGTAGTTTTAGAGTCATAATCTCCTTCTTTGAACGGCTGCAGTTCAATCGATGACATTTGCAAGCCTGGAATGGAATGTCGGTCAGACCCGGTTTAAGAGATACTTGATGTTGTAGCATTTAGTGGGACCTCATAATGTTTTTTGAAAACGGACACTAATGATGAAATGGGAAGTGGCGCTGGTACTGCATACATGTCTACGGGAGGAATTCTATTTCGCAAAGTACTTCGCCGAATTCCTATTGTCGCATTTAGTCCAAGGACGTGAACCAGTTATAAGCCCAGCACTTGAACAATGGGGAAAGGGAGGGCTGTGGCAGGTACAGAACTGAGCTCATTTCGGAGCGTTATAGAGAATGCATAGATTCGCATTTTGGCTAGAAGGAGTCCAGTCGTAGCCAAAACAGTCCGATAAGCCTCGACATAGTTAAATAACAAAGGTGAGAAGCGGCATATATTGCTAGCAGCTACATAACGTGGACCGTCACTCCGTCATTCGGAACCGGTTTATCATTACTTTTTCTAGCAAATTGGTATCCATGGAACTATGGCGTCTACAATCGCGTTAGGCCATAAACTACACCTATTCGAAGCATTGGCTAAGGTCGGTAGTGAGGAAAATCCAGCCACACCGAAACAGGTAGCTGATGAAAGTGGATGTAAAGAAAGGTACGCAATTTCTAGTAATTAGAACCACTTACACTATGTAAGAAATGAAAAATCCCAAAACTAGCACTGGGTGCATTTCAGGGACCAACCTTGCTTTCCATTTGGGTTACCCCTCGTAGAATCCAAATTCAGAGAAGAACGAAAGAAATCCTGTTCCACCACCCCCCCCCCC